GAGTGCTCTGGCCGCATGATTTCACACTTGTCTCCCACTTGTCTCCCCCGCCGCATGATTATATACTTGTGTCCCATTTGTTTCCCACTTGTCTCCCAGTAAGCTCTGGATGCTCTGACGCTTGTCTCCCATTTGTCTCCCACTTGTCTCCCAGTAAGCTCTGGATGCTCTCAGTGCTCTGGCCGCATGATTTCATACTTGTCTTCCATTTGTCTCCCACTTGTCTCCCAGTAAGCTCTGGATGCTCTGAGTGCCCTGGCCGCATGATTTCAGACTTGTCTCCCACTTGTCTCCCAGTAAGCTCTGGATGCTCTAGTGCTCTGGCCACATGATTTCACACTTGTCTGCCATTTGTCTCCCATTTGTTTCCCACTTGACTCCCAGTAAGCTCTGGATGCTCTGAGTGCTCTGGCCGCATGATTTCACACTTGTCTCCCACTTGTCTCCCAGTAAGCTCTGGATGCTCTGAGTGCTCTGGCCGCATGATTTCACACTTGTCTCCCATATGTCTCGGATTACATTGGGTCTGCGCATTCGTGTTTGCAAGGGGGGCAACATATGTCACAACCTGGATCCATAAATTTCATGTTTTAGCCCTTGTACGGCGTCCCATTGTAAAGTCAATGAAAAACAGAATTTTAATGCTTTCCCTTTGAATCTTGTATGTGCGTCTACATGGTGGACTACAGTTTTCTTCCTCTAGGAAATACTGCTGGCCATATTGTTCGGAGATCTCATTTTTGAACATTGCTCTGTTTGGGGTCTACGCTGGTATAATTTTGTCTAGACTTGCCATGCTCAACTTAGTAAATAGAAGTTGCTCGCCCAACAGTTCCTTACGAAAAATACCCTTTTTCAGAAACAAGCTGCTGGCCTCTCTCAGCCTTTTGACGGTGCTAAGGAATGCCCGGTCCAAGCACCCCCGACGAACCGAAGAGGAGTGCATGAAGAGGCCTGGCCATTTGGTTTTGGGGTTCGGTGGGTGCCGAAGAACTAGAGGCAAATAGTAGCGATGCCAGGAGCCCCTAGCATCCTTGCTCCTAGTAGTAAGGCCAGGAGCCCCTAGTAATAGCTGCAGATTGAACCTGATCCATTTCCATTTTCATGAACTTGAGATGTCCGGAAACATCGTGGCAGGCAGAGCTTCTTCACTGAGGCCTGGCTTTCCATTCCTCCGAAACGTTCTCAGGTGAGTTCAGTTGTGGCCAGGTGGAATGGGACAGGATAGATGATTTGCTGTGTGGCACTCAGTCCAGTCCAGTTGCTGCCAAGAAAGCGTTTTGACAGGATTTCCATGGAAAAAATGGCAAACAATTGGCAGCATTTCAGTTGTGCCGAAAGATTGCGATCCGGACTCGAAAGGAGAGATGCCGGGCTGCTGTGTGAGGGTGTCCAAGGCACATGCCTAAGAAGCTTTAAGCACCACAAAAGGACATGGAAATCCAGACATGAGCAGTTCAAGCTATTGTTTTCAATTCGGTGATTTCAATTCCAGTTGCACGACGGAATAGGCTTCGAATAGAGCCCAAGCTTTGAAGCAGGTCACGATGAGGAGCGCGTCCTCGCGATGTTGGCCCGTGTCCTTGGATGACACGACTCGACAAGAAAAGGCACACGAAAGACATACTGCAGTGGGGATGCCTTCAACAAAGATGAGTAGGTGCAGTCAGATACACCTGGGTTGTTCAAGGTTCTGGGGATGAAAAGCACGTTCCTTGGCCCTGGTGTTTCAAAAAGTTGTGGGGTCGATGAGTAGGTCTCCATTTTGTGCTGTGTCCCCCTCAAAGAGGTGTAACTGTTCCGAACTGACACCAGATAAATACTTATTGTTACTAGTAGTAAGGCACTTGTTTCTAATAGCTTCTAGTTACTACTAGTAAGGCACTTGTTACTAGTAGCGATGCACTTGTTCCTAGTAGCGATAAACCGATGCATGGGTTTCTTACGGCTGCTGTGATTTCTTGACGATGAAGCATTCATGTCAAGGTTCTTACAGCGATCCATGACATCATGAAGGTTGTGAGAGCCTTATTGAGCCCTGGTGGCGGGGTCATTACACATTGAAGAAAGTGTGTCTGAAGTCAAAGGGGCCTGGCAAAAAAGGGCTCAAACACGTTCCTTTTCTATAAATGTGTTCCACTTGTATGTTTCTCTTTTTCTTTACTCTCTGTCAAAGATACTCATACTGGAGATGCGTCAGTGAGACCTGCAAGCCCCGGTTGCTATGCGTCATCCAGGTCGCCATCGTCCCGCGGGTGCATGAAAAATTTGCGCCTTACCGCGGCTACAAGGCCCTGTGGAACGACATGGAACTACTATGAACAACGCGCATTTCACCATGAAATGTGTGACCATGTTTTGATCAGGCGGGCGAACGCATCTATGATCACGACATAGCTTTGGGTTGCTGGCCTAGACGTTTTCAATGATCAAGATTTTGCTGAGTCTGTTTATTTCGTTTCGGACTGACACATCATGCCTCATTGTGCTGCCTCCGCACAGCTCCAACTTTTGCACAGCTTTTGTTGTGTCGACTTAAGCTGGGCCTGTGAGTTTGCCCTTTGAGTCGAGGAGATAGAATGTAGGATGCATCTCACTCTGCTTTCTTATCAGTGAGGATTATGTATTCTGAATGTATGATCAAGAAACAACATGCAATATGTCAGTGCACACCTACTCTGACATGTACAGACTAACGCCATGCATGAGGGTATACCGGGTGATTTCACAAGGCATAAAGTATCCTGAGCTTTCCTGCACCAAAGCCCACAGATCATGTGCATGGTACAAGCGAGCTCCGAGGTTATGTTTTGGATCATCATTCACATGCTCTCCCGTCCTATGCTGGGCTACCAAAGAAGCAGCAGGACTGAGTGGGCTGGTCGTGCAGTATATCTTCCACAACCTTCGTCAAAACACACCAAGAGTATGCAACACCGACACCCTTTGCTGCAATCTGATACACGACTCCTATCGCCTAGCCTCAGGACTCTATCCGGTTCACTCAGTGCAAAATGGAGTACAACATGGGTTGGCTCGTCCAGGCTTGTCTTCTTCAGAGCGTGACAGCTGCAATTCTCACCTTTAACAGCCTTTAACATCCTTTGACAGGTTTATCAATCGTTTGGCAGTCTTGAAACAGGGCGTACTTTGTCACCAGCAGCTTTGTCCAACGAGAATTCTATCATCACCTGAAGCTAAGGCTCGAAGTCTTGGTTGGAATGCGCACAGAAACCGCTGCAGAATCTTATAAATTGGTAGTAGGATGTTCAACAAGATTTGTAGAAAGGTGATGAACATAATAGTATACATATTATATAATATAAGGTATGTCGTGTATACATAATTCTATGCGTTTTATAGACAATGGCACAAGGCATGCAGTATTTAACCTTCAGAAATCTTCACCTCAGATGTATTAATGGACCAAAGTCATCTGGACTGAGCGTCGGCCATGACGCTAGCTGTGCCAGCTGTGCCCTTGCCAAGTGCAGAGGCTCTTGCGGTGTCAGGCCGCACCAGAGTGACAGCGATGTTTACAAAGCAAGCGAGTTGTCAACAACATTCAACATCAGTAGACTCTAGACGTTTATACAAGAAGCCTTTTAACCAATGCAACCCGGCGGACAAACTGTAGATAGGTGAAAGCAAAGGGTGTGCGAGCATTGTTTGCTCAGTTGATCTGCCCGGGAGAGGCAAGTTTACGCTTGGGAACTTAAATGTCATTGCAGTCTCTTTCTTTCTGCACCAGGCAACGCGCAAAGTGTGCCGTTGACTTCAGGCAGAGCAGTTCCTGGCAAACGTGACATCATTTAATTTAATGGAACACTGAGATGAGCATTCAGTGTGGTGTCAACCTCATTCGAAGCAGGCCAGCTCCTGGTGAAGCCCTTAGTTAGCCACCACAGTGAGAGATGTGAACAAACCAGAGCTGGTAGCTTTTCTCAGCCCAAAAATGTGTTATGCTGGTGCATAGGTGCTCCTAGTAGCGTCCTTGCTCCTAGTAGTAAGGCCAGGAGCCCCTAGTAGCGTCCTTGCTCCTAGTAGCGATGCCAGGAGCCCCTAGTAGCGAACATTGTTACTTTTGTTTCACGATGTTTTGCAAAACATGCATTATGCTTGTCCAAATTGGGACCAAGGGCAGTCCGCCCTTGCCTCCCCCAAGCCTTCTGGATGGCTTTCCTGACCCTGACCGAGTGGAAGCGAGGAGGCATGGCAGCACAGTTGGAAGAGCTGAGGCACTGGTGAAATGTTTCAGAAACCCTCTGAACCTCACATCACGGGTCATTTTCCACTCGAAATCTTTCTCTCGGGCTGGTCACATTTTTTCCGTTGCCCCTTACAGTGTGCATCAAAACGCGCCTTGGGAAGAAATCTATTCCAGTATAGTTTAAATTCCTGTACTTTTTTGTGATTGTGCAAGTGTCGGTAGACCCGCCGTCGCACCAGATTTGCAAGCTGTTGCTATTTGGAATGATGGGGCCGTCAGCGCCAGACAATCAAATGTAACCATCATTCAAAGGCCATGGCAGACGCATCTGCAGGTTGGCCATGTTTAGTCTCCCTTGTGCTACACGCAATAGTGCATCCTTGGATTCGATCAGTGAGGCATCATGCTTGCGACTGCTTGCCTCAGAATGATCCACCTCACTGTGTACTTCAGCGAACTCCAGCGAGTTTCCTTGCTTGTGCTCGCACTGAGCAATCTGAATCTCCCTGTATGAGACTAAATCCACAATGATATCTTATGAGCTTGCTTCACCTTGAGCTCGAGATTTGAAAGACATTTACCCTAGAAGACTGCCAGAAGTGGCATTGACATGGCAAGATCAGACTAAAGTCGGGTGAGCGTGCCCGCGGTTCCGTAAAGCAATGAAATTAGGAGGGTGAACCTCAAACAAGATAAATTCGTCGAAATGTCCTGCAGAAAATCAAGGAGCCCCTGTGAATGGCAGGTATTTTGAACATCAGAAGGATGCACCTTAGTTATTCGGATGATCCTCTGCCGCCTCTGCTTCAGGTTGTTGGAATTGATGGGATGGTCCAGCTTTCTTATAACCGCCAACTTCCAACGCATTTCACCTGGTCTCATGCCCAAAAGAAGATTTGGAGAGAGACACTGGGTGACACCTGGTCTCGCTGCCTCCCCGTAGCCAATCCGGGCCTTCGGAGTCCAAGCTTCCGCGTTGCACTAGCATCAGCCTTCTCCCAAAGGTCTGCAGCTAGGAGGCCTCGAATAGTCCGGCATTCAGGAACAAGATTCAGGTGAAAAGCAGTGAAGGGAACATTGCGGTGTCAATTTCCGGAAAATCGAGGACAACACGATTTAAACCAGTTTGTCAATCCTGCCTCCACGGGGCTGTGACACTCGCTCCTTTTATTGCATACCGAATGTGGAGAGCCAAGGAAGAAGGAATACCTCAAGTCATTGCAGGAGTGACTCAGCACTTCCCGGATAGCAGCTGCGAACAGTCAAGCTAGATGTTTGATCTATTAAGTGAAAGTCGTCTCTCATCTCCAGTGTTTGTTGAAAGTGACCTTGGTAGACAGATTTAGACAGGTTTGCAGGAAGTTGTCTTTTTGCAGTGTTGCCTTGCGGCTGGGTTCTGGAATCAACCATATGTGTTTTTTGGGTAATACTGGAAAAGGTGTAGATGGATCTTTTTATGATATTTTTATGTCAACTCCTCCATGTACTACAATTACATTGTGACAGTTGCTTGCAGCTTCTTGAAACAAAATGCGAAGGAGCAAGTTCGGCAACGAGTTCAGACGCTCACACAGAAGCACCAAGCCAATCTGGAATACTTGCGTGCCAAAAATGACCAGTGCAAAAGGCGGGGTAAATCACTTGCACTCCTTTTGCTTTGTTGAAACAACACTGGAGGGAAGAACTGATTTTGCAGCATATCACACGCAGGCAAGCCCATGCCACTATTGACCAGGCTGGGAGCTGCAAGTAGTCGGTAATTGGTTTCAGCGTGAGTTTCACCTCTATGTTGAGGCCATGAGGACACAATTTCTTTTGCCGATGCTGTAGATGTCCAGCGGCCAAGCAAACAGTTTGATGCTCAATGATGTCCAACCACATTTGCACTCAAGGTCTGCCACTAAAGCCCTTCACAGGAGCTCCTCAAGCAGGAGATGGAGATTGATCGCCGGCATGATGAACAGCTTCTGGCCTTGCAGCAGGCGAAACTACACCCCAGCAGCTCATGGTCCAATCTTCTCACTGCACTTCCGACATCCAAATTGTTTTGTTCTCCAACAGGCTTAGGTGCTGGCTGCGGCGTTTCTGTCTGTAGGGGACTGTTAGTGGGACTGTTCTTCGGCCGTCTTCTTCCTTCAAGTTCTGAGACTTCCCAAGTATTCAGCATTTGTTTCTATTAGCTTCTTGTTACTACTAGTAAGGCACCTGTTACTACTAGCGATGCACTTGTTACTACTAGCTATAATTGTGTCTTTTTTTGAATCAAGAGAAGGGTCCTGAGAGTACAAACTCCTTCACGCTATGAAAAAGCGCGATTGGTGTTGCAACGAACATCGCCCTGGATCGCGGTCACGCTGACCGCGGATCGCGGGGATTTCTTTCCGACTGCCTCCGACGTATCGAACTAATCGGCGGCCAGGCAGCCATGCGTTTCTTGGCTTGTCAGCAGCATTAACTCATGGCCGTGTTTGCTTCGAAGACTTTGGGAAGTTTCCAACAAGGTATCAAATCGAAAAAATAAGGATTTACTGCGTAGTAACAGAAATTGACTCGAGAGATGCCAAGCATGGTTCGAGGAAGAAAATTCAATATCTCCAAAGAGGCTGGAGAGTTAACCTTGCAGTACCAGACCAAGGAGACACAGGCGAGTACCTTCCCTGCTCCGTGTGATTTTGGACTGATGAACAGTTGCATCACTATTGTTGGTCACTCTCATTTCCATTCTCCGTTGGTTGCGCAAGTTCCGAGCCCAACATGTTTGCCATTCTAGCCTTGCTCTTCAGGAAAAGCTGCAGATGCTTGATTACGCAGCTCGGAGGATGTACATGGGGAAACGACGTAGGCTTGCTTTGTTCAGTACGCATAAAGATGCTGGAGAACTGGAACTTAGTTGCTGAGGAGCTGCACAGAAAATACTTTGATGTGGCTTCGGGTCAGATCGATTGGAGACAGCAGGTTCGGTGAAGTGACTGAACCTCAGACGTGTGAGTCAAAACTCGATATCGTAGCCCATCGTAACCCTCAACCCCCCAGCCTTTGCTACACGAATCTGGGTACACTTAGACCTGCATCATTGCTAGTAGGTTGGAGGCTATCGCTAGTTGGAGGCCATCGCTACTAGGGTGGAGCATCGCTACTAGGGTGGAGGCCACTGCCTTGTGCCTGGACTTTCCAAAACCTGCAGGTCGATGCGACCCGAAGCTCTTTGCCTGATCCTCCCGGTCCTCCCCCAGCTGAAAAGCCACCATTGTTGTCTCCTGGGACGCTTTTCTTGGCAGTGCAGGCAAGTGGAAGTCTGGACACATCTTGCATTGCAACAATCAAAAAGTGTTGCAACCTTTTGCAACCTACTGGCATTACTGCAGGAGAAGTTGCTTACAGCAGCTTCGAGAGTGGGTTGGGAATGCTTCCAGGCCGCTTACAACCTGACTAACACGGACACTGGGCTTTTGGGAGACGTCTCCGACCCCTACGTTGTGGTGCGACTGGGTGGGCAGGCGCGATTCCATGATTGGAGGTGGCAACGACAGAGGAAGCACTCCTCTCTTTTGTAGTCGCACATTTTCTGAGGCGAGCATGGTTGTAATATGAAAGATGTGTCAATTGCAAACAGTGGGAAGGCTTGTAATAAGGTGGATAGTTCGAGACATTTCACTTCACATCACTTTACTGTACTATTGCTGTGCTTTGTACCACTATGTTGGCAGGGGCAAGGATAAACATTTTAGTATTTGCATTTTGCTGACAGGAATTCACCACCCCGGCATTCGGCTCAGCGTTTGTGTGTGTGATTGTGTGTCGGGGTTTGCACATTGGTTCAAGATTATTGAAGTAACACAGCTTCTGATGCTGTAGTTGAGCCAGCATAGGTGTTTGGCCGGGCCTTTGAAGCGGAGCAAGCAAAGCTGCCCTTTGGCCCTTCTTGCAATGATGCAAATGTCTGAGGTGATCAGCAACAACTTGAACCCTGTATGGGAGGCTGACAACAGGTTCACTTTGTGCGGCCGGCTTGTTTCCGAATCACTGACCATTGTTGAATTTGGGATGTTTGAACTGTCCGTTCAAGTCTTGGACTCCTTTAACAATTCACACGCACACGCACACGCGCGCACACACACACACAGAGACGCGGAGACACGCACACCATGCTTTTTGAGTTGATCGCTCACAGGACGGTGACAGAGGAGGATAAATTGCTCGAGCTGGAGGTGAAGAATTCGCAGCTTGGGCATCAAAGTTATTTTGGGGAATTGACGGTCATTAGTTGCACACTTCAGCTACGAGGTTCATTTTGTTGTGAAGCCTCCACCTTTTCATCCCTCGGAGTTTCCTTTAGTTGGACGGTGCAGGAGCCCCTAGTAGCGTCCTTGCTCCTAGTAGCGATGCCCTTTGCTACTAGTAGCGTCCTTGCTCCTAGTTGGACAGTACAGGATAACTGACTACTGTACATGATGCACAAGACTCGTTGAATTACAGATGCCAGCTGCGAGAGTCATACTCGACTAGGACCACAACATATTGAGGTGCTAGCCCTAGCCTGTTCGGCTTTGCTTGCCCTGACCGAGGAATCATTTCCGAGACGACAGCCTGGGTCATTATCTTAAAGTTCGTACGCATCGCTCTTTGGCATCAGCCATCCACTGCCAACTGAGGAAGAACAAGCCTGGATTTCCGATCGCTGACCCCAAACGTCACTTGAAAGCAGTGAAGGTAGAAAGGAAGCGAAGGAAGGAGGTCTGCGAACAACCTTTGAGAAAAGCGCAGCTCGTTCTTGTGCTGCTAGGCCACTCGAGAGACAATAGGTTCTGCACTCTCACGCAATCCAACAATCTCCAACATGTGGCAGTCCAGGCTTGGCACAGCCACAAAGATCTCTTGAAAGATGGAGACAAAGGGGAGCTGGAATACGCTGTGCCTTGTTTGTAATTACAGAGGTCCTTTCTTGGCCTTTAGCTGCTCTTACTTGTTTGGGCTGGCTGTACTCTACCTGTTGTTCGTCCTGTACTTATTTTGCCCCCTGCATGCCTGAATGCCCTCGAATGCCCCTTTGCCAGCAAGAGGCTGCATTCAAGCACCACTAGACCTCGAAAGCACGAGTCGCCACAGATTCTTGATGTATTTGAAGTCCTGAACCTACAGCCTTTGTAGCCAGTAGTCACCAGCGATCTCAAGATCCAAATGCAATGCCAGATTGTACGGCTCGGATTTTTGTCCATGCACTTTCAATATTGCAACCACTTTGCCTCTTTTCTTGACAAGCCAAGGTGCATTTCAAGCCAGCAGCAGCATCTTCATTGAAAGAGTAATCCGTAATAAGGAGTGGACTTAGTCGAGAGGCAGAATGTGAGATTGAAGCTCAGCTTGCAAAGACCAAGCATTCGGACAGAGTGGCCTGGATGTTTCGGAAGCGGACCTGTTCCGAGTTTGAAACGTGTATATATATGTGCTTTTTTGGACCCAAATCATCCGATTGGAAGACGGGTTGCGGATTTGACAGGATTTGGTGTTCCTCGAGGTTCGGTTCCTGAACGCACGGAGTGGCAAAGACTGCCGGCGACGCAAATGCATCGTGATGACCCGTGTACCTAGGTGCTGAAAGAATATTAAGCGAGGTGACCCGTTGGTCAGGAAATTCAAGCCAATGACATGAATTTCCCCCCTTTGGTTGACCCAGTGGCCCTTAAAGGCCATGTGGAGCGCAAAGACCGCACCAGTCATTTGAGACATTTGAGATGCTGAAATCGTTGAGTGGCTTCATGCGTTTGCAAGAGATCAGATTTGAAGTTGCACAAAAAGATGATTGATTGACATGTGCCGGTGCCATTTTTTCTTGAAGTCGTTGAATCTGGCAGGCAGAAGCTCCTCCTGGGGCGCTTTTCACCAAGTTCAAAGAGTGCCCTCACTGGATCAACGAAGCAACACTTGTGTAATCTTCTTGTGTTCAACAGCATCCAGTTTTTACATGTTTTTACATCACATGAGATGAATACTCATGCTGTCCAGACGCTGCCATGCAAGCTGAACTAAAACAGGTTGAATTCTCGATTGCTTGAACCTCACGGGTTCCTGAGAATGGTAGTGCGGCCATTGCTACAGGAGTCGTTTGTGAGGTACGTACTCTGCGGTGGTCTCGGCCTCGGGCCAACATGGACACTGGGACTCTCCAGACCGTGCTTTTTGTGCTTCGTGGAGTGCTTCGCCATTTCTTCTGGAGCCAGGTGCCGAATCTCGGGATGTGGCCTTTTACTTCTGCCATTGGCTCACGGACTTGGCGGGTGCCGAGCCATACCCGCAGGAGATGGGATGCAAGAGCAGTATGCAAGACAGCATGCACGACAGCATGCAAGAGTATGGAAGAGCAAAGCACTTGCAGATGGTGTTTGTGTCGCATGATTTTGTGGTCACTTGGGACCAGAGCAAGCTGAGCAAACACTCAGAGAGCTGTCCGATGTGGTGCCTTTTGACGCAGGAAGGTTGCGAAAAGTTTGTGATCAAGGTCCCTAGGAAGGCTGGACTATTGACTGAGTAGGCTTTGTGCCTTCCGTAGTGTCAAGTAAAGTGAGAGTGAAGCCCATCCAGATGACACACTCTTAAGTGTTAGGAATCATCGCCAAAGGTGTTGAGCTCTTTCATCAACTCCTTCAAGATAGTCGGCGAGCTATCCACAAAGCTGGCAACCCAGTCGGAGTGCTTTCCTGCGGGCAAGCAGCTAGGCATTTTTCGACGTTGATTCTTGCAGTAAGCTCCAGGCTCCAGTGCTGGCAGATACTTTGCTCTCAGTTGGAATTTGCTTCTCCTTTATATTATATAGACAGAGTTGCCGTGTGGCTGTGGGCCTGGGTCAGCAATTGACACATTCTGACCATGAACGCTTATTGTGGTCCATGGGCCATGCATGAGGGTTAAACGATGTTAAACGGTTAAGGTGTTTGATCTACAGAGATTTCCCGATGATGCCAACATATCCCAATTATTTTACAATTGACGACCCACAGGGGCGATACCATATCCTCGCGCCATTTTTGCAGGAGCGAGTCACAAGTCTTGGAGGACTACTTGGCCAAGGGCCCAATTCCGAATTTCGCATGAGGATGTACTGGCAAACAGGAAGATACATGAAGATACTGAAGATGCATTTGGCATCAGTTTCCCACAACTTAGACCTTAGCTGCCTGAGCAAAGTCCGACGAGTGAACACTTGATTATGAAAGTGATTTGGCGCATGAAACCTTTTAAACGCCTGGATGTGTCAGTTCTAGGAAGCCACAGTTGATGCGTCAATAACGATTCTTTGGTCTGGTGACTTGTGAGGTGTGGAGATGGACATCTCATGTCCCGTCGTTGGGACAGGTTGGACATTTGACGCAACCCATTCTGATGGACAAAGTCCTGTATTGCTTGGGAACTATGGGATAGGATTGAAAAAAGTAGTCATGAGTCATGATGTTATGGTTGACTACAGCTTGGATGAGCTTGGAATCTAGGTTGGAAGAGCCTGAAAGTTAAGTGTCTCAAAAAACATCTAGGACCTATCGCAACTTAGCACTTGCCGCCTTACGCCCGCCCTCAAAAAAGACAACCACCAGCTTTCAAAAGCTGCTGTTTGCACGCCGGCCGCCCACCAGCGATTGCAGGTGCCCCAGGGCCGCGGGGCCGTGGCTGCCTTGAGACTTGTTGTGATGGTCTGGGGCTTTTGCCGCTATGCGTGCGACACGAGAGCGAAAGCAAGTGGATCATTCGCGTGGTATGGGTAGTTCAGATGTTTAATCAAGACGGACCAAGGCGCAAGGCGACAGCCAACAAATTCTCCGTTGGATGCCAAGCATGATGATTCCTCCTGCTTATCCTTTGCATTTGGGATACGTCGACAACAAACAAAGACAGCAGACACTGGCAGCCAGTTTCATGTCAGGGGCTCTGCAAAACTCAGCAGTCGAGGACTGCAGCAAGCGAAACATGTTTCGCCGTTGTGGCGGACATTGGTGTTGGAGCAATGCAGATTAATTGATGAAGCAGAGGTGATTTGGATGAGACTGGAGCTTTGTGCTTGTTGCGCTTAAGTGTGCTTGATGCATTTTGATGCCATCTCTGCTCCTGCCTTGCTGACATGTACCAGCAGGATGTTGATGTCCTCAATAGAGAATTGGCCCTGACAGGGTGCAAGGCGTGGAATATTGGGAAGTCCAAAGCAGAACGTAGGTGGAGTCCAACACGGTGTGAAAGCTAGCTTTGGCTCTACCCCGCAGCTAAAGCTTTCTTGTGGCTGGAATGGCTTGCGCTCATGATATTGCCAGTGTTTGCTTGTCATTTGAAGCCAGAGTGCATCCCCCTCAGGACACTGCGATCAAATCCCAAGCTTAGGTTTAGTTTAATATGTAGGGATTGATCAACAACAGTCTTTTTGGGATTTGAACCAAGAGTTCTGAGGAGGGTATACTGTGGTAGAATCTGTAGAATTTGGTGGACTTGAATCGACTCAATTGACATTTGTACCTTTAAGCCACAATTAGGAAGGAAGGAAGGAAGGAAGGAAGGAAGGAAGGATCGGAAGGAACCAAGAAACAAAGAAACAACTAAACAAAGAAACAAAGAAACAAGAAACCAAGAAACGGAAACAACGAAAAAGACATGCATTTTGAGCTCATTCAAAACTTGGAGCAACCTCTTGTAGGATCAACTCTTTGCTCTGGAGCGGCCTCCTGAGGGCGCGGTGGCCATGGGCCAGACCCTTGGATCCTTGTGCTGACTCATGCTGATCATCACTTTTTGGACCCCTATGCCCTGCACTTTGATGATGCTTTCTTGTGCTTCCTCAAACTTTTGTGAACCACTTGCAGAGAGCTTGGAAATCGTTTGAGACCAAGCTGCAGGCCCTGCAATCCTTATCTACTATGCTCCAGCGCTGATGCAAAAGGCTCTTGCAGACACAGCGATGCTGGACGAACCCCCAGAAAGACTCAGAAGCAAACTCCAGGCTGGGCGAACAGATCCCATTGCTGCTTTGAGGCCAGCGATGTGCTGAAATGCACGCATAAACGTGCGTAATGGTCTTTTTGTTCTATTGTTGGCCCACACACACACACACATTGAGGTTCAGTTTCAGCGTTCTGAACTGAGTTTGCTGAGGATACTTTCAGAACTCTTTCGGCAAGCTCGACAGTTCTGGCCGTAAGGGGCCAAACTCAGATGAGCAAAACTTCAAAACGACATTTCAGAATTTCAGATCTCAGAGTCATTTCATGTCATTTCCACACAGTTTGCAACGTGCTTTGCATGTCATCTTGATTTTGCCCAGGCTGCTTCCAAGCAACTCGGGTTCGTATGTGACTGTGCGTATCGATGTACTCAAGGAACTTGAGGCCAGTGGGGCATGACCTGCCTTTCTGGCGTTTCTCGAATAGTTCATATTCTCATATCTTTAGTTTCTCAAAGGCTGGCTTTTGATTCTGCTTCCATGTGCTGAATCTCAGGGCTGTGCCGGCAGGGTGTCACATCAGCTTTGCTAGGCTTTCCGTGGTTACCACAAATCTTTCCAAGTATAGTTATAAGCTGTTATAAGATATATAGGTTTATGATGCACTGTGGTCACTCTAGACTGTAGTCTTGCCAACCCCATTTATGAGTTTGCAACGAAATGCGAAGGCGCCTGTGAAGGCAGACTTCGGATTCACCGGACCATTCCGGATTTCACAATTTCGGGAATGCGAGGCAAATAGAATTCCAGCAAAGGAAAGGATAAGTAATTCCACAACTTGAATTAAGAGTCTTGATTGTGGGTCAATGTGTTCTGGCACCTAATCTTAGGAACATAGGAGTCAGGCAAGCAGTGGACAATTCTTCACCCTTGAAGACCCAGAATGTGCCAAACTCATCTAAGCACCCGAACAGCTCACGGCATAGGTGATAGCCAAAGCATGTGTCTACACTTACACCTAAAAATCTAATGTACTAGCTTCTAATGTTAAGTTTCCCCCAAAATCTAGGAACAAGAAGCTACTAGGGTTACTAGGGGCTCCTGGCATCGCTACTAGGAGCAAGGACGCTACTAGGGGCTCCTGGCCTTACTACTAGGAACAAGAAGCTACTAGGGGCTCTTCTTCAGTGCGAGCGCTTCTTCAAGGAAGCTTTCCCCGCCCCCTTTAAGGCGCTGGGGGGAGCTTCCTTGAAGAAGCGCGAGCTATCCTGCGTCCATAGGTAGTAGCTTAGTTGTGGGTACTAGCTACCTACCTACCTACTACTACCTACCTCTGCGGCCTACACCCTTTAAAAAAGCATGGCAGCCTAGGAACATCTGGGAACATGGCTGTGCGCAAGACTGGCCTGGAGTGAGATGAAGACCACAACTCCTGGCATGAAGACCAACAAGGGCATCACTTGAACAAAACGTCAGCAACTCTTGCTTCACTCAACTGATGGCTATATAAACATGCCCGTGAGGCAATCATCCATTCCCCACCCCTCCACATGGAAGCTGATATGCTTGCGTAAGATATCACAACAACCGGTGGACCACACCGTCACAGGTGAAGATGATTACAGCACACACTCCACGAGAGGCAGGATCGAATTGGTTCTCAGTTTGAGCGGCCCAAGGCCCAAGCGTCAACTAGGGTCAAAGATTGCTTGAACAATTCAGGTTTGAAGAGTGTAGATGATGTTTGATTTGGGACTTTGAAGGACCTTAGCTTGTTTTCTGAAGTTTTTCTTGTATGTTCCTCGAATATCCTGGCTCGTTGGCCAGGTTTGGGCCTTGGAGAAGACCAGCAGCCGGGACGCGGAGGTGATGA